ATGTTTCTTTTCTGTATAATTTTGTATTTTCTACTAAATTCTGAGCTTGAGGCTTCAAAGTTACCATGCATCATTTATTTCCTTCTTGTCCCTAGTGTTCAGCACAATCCCCAGCTCACAGTGTTTCACTGAATGTACAATCTACATTCAAATTTGCTTTGCTCCTAACCTGCCTAAAAATGCATGATGCTCCATTTCCTGAGGGGCAAATTAAAACTTTATTCTGGCATTCATTCCCACATACTCTAAGCAGATATGGTATCCTTGAAAAGTCTGGCCTTTGTAGTCAACCTCTGTGTGTGTGTGTGTGTGTGTGTGTGTGTATGTGTGTACCCACATGCACATATATAAAAACAAGTGCGGAATTAAATTTAGAAGTATTGCTCTATAGCCCACACAAGTGAGAGTTTATATGGAGAATAATCTTCATTCAAAAACATTTATTGACTATCTAGTATGTTCTAGCATTCTCCTAGGTACCGTGTATAAAAAAAATATCACTAAAGCAAGGTCTCTACCCTTGAAAGAGCTCATATTGAGTGCAAGAAACTACTGTGTTGAAATGTTTACAGTGAAAGAACATGGTCAAAAAAGTCATTAATTGCTCCTAAGATAGAGAAGCCTTCAGAATGAAGTGTGGTACCATGAAATACAGCTAGGTATTTACGTCGCAGATTGACAAAAAAGAGAAGGAAGGGGCGAGTCTACACAATGAAAACAACTTGTGCAAAAGCACAGTGGTATGAAACTGTGTGATATGTTCAAGCAATTGAAATTAGAGAGCATCAGGAGGCAACTTAGAAAGGTAGACAAGGGCCAGATCAAGAAGGGTATTGTATGCAAAATCAAGAACTTTGTTTTTCTAGAAGATGGCAGGAGGTTATGCAATGGAAATTTTGAATGGATTCTAATTACCATGAAAAAAAAAAACATTTGAAAATTTACATCTATGTAGTAGAGGTTAAATTAACTGCAATTGCTTATTGTAGAGAATAAGATGCAGGAGAAAGGAACTTTCACTCTGTGAGAGGTTGTTACAGCAAGGAGAGTGACCAGTTATTTTCAGTTCCCACTGAGGACAAAGCAAGAAGAAATAGGCTTAAATCTCAGCAGAAGGGAAAATTACCTACAGAAGGGGGTCCTTCACAGAAAGATTGAGTGTGACTGACGTAGATCATTAAAATGTTGTCTCAGGCTCTCTGGCTGTGTGCTGGTTTCTGTGTACTCAAACAGCCCAATTTCAAAGACATGCCAAGACTGAATATTGTCAGGCTTAAATGAGGGTATTTGGAATAATGAAATTTCATGTGTCAATTAGTTATTCAAATATCTTGCTATCGGCTTAACTAAAGTTTTGGAAATGCATTTGAACATGTAATATATAGATAGCATTTGTATTTATTAGAAAAAAGAGAAATGATCAGAATTAGCTATAAAAATAGGTATCCTATTAAAGGTATTTGGTATTCATGTACCATTTCAGAAAGTTATTAAAGATTAGGTAGATAGAATTAATTTAAATTAAGTTATTAATCTTTATGTATAACATTTATTGGTCAGATGATTACAGTTAAAATTGCTATATGGTTTATTAACTGATGGTACTTTATCAGTTAATACAGTGACTCGCTGTCTTATTTTCATCATGATTCATTGATAACTCAGCTTATTAAAATAATATAAAACTTCTTTTAGCTTTCTCATATATTTCCAATTTCTAGAACTGCTGTTTGTGTTTTTATTATTTGAAGATATATATAAGACAGAGGCTTCTAGAGTGACCATTTTGCTCATCCTTTTACATCTTATGAAAAGAACTCATATATCGTCTCATGTCCCTGCTTAACTGTGGCAGGTGACAGGAAAATTGAGAAACCACAGACAGGGATACAAAAAGGCACTTTGCTTCTCGCTACAGCAAATCTTGACATTAATATGGCATAGCCACCATTGAGACTTAGGCAATCTGAGCAAGTATTATTTAGATATTTTATGTTAATGTAAAATTTTAACATGATTACAGCTATCAAATGGAAATCAATTTTATTTCTTAAGAAACTAACTCAAATGCTTCGGAAGTGATTTTGTACACACCTAGATTAGATTGCTCTTGTTCTACCCCAAGAGATGTATATACATCCAACTAGTTCACTTGGAAGAGCAAATTATTGGATAAATGTCTTTAACCAGTAGAATTGATGAAAGTGAATCTTCTTAGTTGTCTTTTGTGCTGACATTGACTACCATGGAGCCTGAGAGAGCTACAATGGCTAATACGTAAATGGTGTAGACTAGGTAAGAGAGACTCAAGACATGATAATACAAAGTAAATAAACTTCAGAGTAAAAATTTTTTATAATATTTTAATGTTACATATTTAATTTAAAATAATTGGTCTAAGGGTCATACACATAGAAAAAGATTAAAAAGACCACCCATTTGCCATGAACTCCTGCCAGTTTGAAACATTAAATTGACTTTGTGAGTGAGATTATTTTTTTGAGATAGAGTCTCACTCTTTTGCCTGGGCTTGAGTGCTGTGGCATCAACCTAGCTCACAGCAACCTCAAACTCCTGGGCTCAAGTGATCCTCCTGACTCAGCCTCCCGAGTAGCTGGGACTGCAGGCATGTGCCACCATGCCCAGCTATTTTTTTTTTTTTTCTATTTTTGGTAGAGATGGAGTCTGGCTCTTGCTCAGGCTGCTCTTGAACTTCTGAGCTCAAATGGTCCGCCGGTCTTGGCCTCCCAGAGTGCTAAGATTATAGGCGTGAGCCACTGTGCCGGGCCTATGAGTGAGATTTTTCAAAAAAATAAATATTTCAATATATATTAAGCAATTTGTTTCCAAACCCAACCAAGATATTTCTCAACTTGACAAGAGAGGCATTTGGCCATGTTTGCCCATGCTTTGAAGGGAATATTATGATTCTAAAAAAGCATATACATTCTCTATCTGCAAGCCTTTCTGATTTCATGAAAGATACTAAGATATTTATTTAACTGAAATGTTATGCTTTATGTTTTTAAAATGTAACCATCAAGTATACTAAATTTTGTTACCAAAATTAAGTTTTTAGTGGATCTGATAATGTTTATTAATAAAAACAATCTTTGAAAATTAAGCACTTATAAGTATGCATGCTAGAAAGCTAAAGCTTTTTAATGCAAAACAATATGACACATGTGAGAAGTTAAAGAAAAAGAATATCACCCATAAAATTGATATGAGCATAATGCTATTTTTCTGTTTCTGGGTTTCCTTTCCAATGTTAGTGAAGTGCATTTTATTTTAAATTATAATGCACTCATAAAATTTGGTGTACCAAAAAACTAGGTAGATTTTTGTTGTTGTTTAGTATTGTGTTCTTTGCTTTTTTTCTTAATTTTTGCTTTTATCTCCATATAGTTCATAAAATATAGATCAATTTCCTTTCCTTTACGAAGATATACCTGCAGTTTCTCCCAAGCACTGCATGGTTTTAGAATTTTAGAATTTAGGAGATTAATTTGTAAGAAAAAAGAAAATGTTAATTTCTTTATAATAATAAATGGAATGTCCAGCATGTTCTGAAAATGATGCATTTTGTGAAAATATAAATGTAATCCCAGGTAAAGACCTCTGTTTAGGAATGTGAACCTCCCATTGATTCCTCTACAGCTGCAAGCCTTACTTAAGACAAATTGTCCTTGAGGTTTCTGTTGCTTTTTGTTCTTATAGCTTGTCCTTGAATTGTGTCTTTTCCACCTTGTAGTATTTAAAATTATGTAGTGGATCAGCATGACAATGTAAAATTTTAAGTATTTTACCTATGTGGGATAAAGTAATCCCAGAAACTCTAAAAGAAATAGTTGTGACCACTTACTTGAACTATCAACATCATGCCTTCTGTGGCTGTTTGCTGGTTTGGAACCTTGGGACTAATAATTCTTCTAAGTATGTAAATAGTTGTTTAAAAGCTATGGTACAAAACAACTTCAGTATGGACCTGATTTATTAAATGCTATGTGTTTTTCTTTTTTTTTGTCACTAAAACAATAAGGATTAATTTACTCTGTAATTACCTAAATATCCTCTGCAGCCTTTTCATAAACCTGTTTGTGAAGAATCTTCATTTATTCTAAACAGAATAATCCTTAAAGCTAAAAACCCCGAATGAGTATGAACATCAGTGGACAAACCCATCATCTAAGGATTATAGAATTAAACATCCAATAGAATGAGAAAAATTTCATACTTTATGCTGTATTTATGCTTTGTTACTAAGTAAATCCTTGATTTTCTTTGCAGCTTAGTCTAGTATGAGAGTTATATTAAAGAAAACACCAGATTCTCATATATTTTTTTGTTCTATACTTTAAAGATTTTGATCATTATAATTGTGGCATCTCTTTTCTAGTGTATCTGATAAGGAAATACAGTATATAAGCAGGCAAATAAAACTTCTTGTATTATCATAATTGCGTGGTCAGATACCTTTTACAACTCAGAATAAGAACAACCTTGAGAATTCTTTTCTGATGGCCCATGCAAGTATAGCAGGGTGAAATGTGCTTACTCTTTTACATTAATTTATGCCAATGATGGCTAGAAATAAGTATAATCTCACAAATGAATCCAGCTTTCAAGAATATATTTTTGTAATAAAGCAAAGAACAGAATGATGATAATAGAAGCACACATTAAGTTGGACTATTACTATCAATACTTAAATGAATGTTCTCTCATGAAAAGCATAGTTCATTTTGCCATAATGATTCAGACATTTTTGAAAATATAGATTAAGGTTTAATTTGGTACTTTTATTGGTCATGTTTCTCACTTTTAAAATATGTAGCCTATTTTAAAATCCAGAGCATTTACTAGACCACATAAGAATCTACCCAAAACATTTTTTTTAATTTTAAATTAGTTATAATGAATTCATTCATTCACTCATTTCACTTGTTTAAGAGAACATCTGCATTTAAATTACTAAAAAATGTGTTGTTTTCTTCCAGATCAGAGACACTAAATCTTCAGATCAAAAAACAACGCTTTTGCATTTTATTGCTGAAATTTGTGAGGAAAAATATCGAGATATCCTGAAATTTCCTGAAGAACTCGATCATGTAGAAAGTGCAAGCAAAGGTAATTGATTTGTAACTGCTTTGAGACTATTCCTTCCTAGTATATTTTATTTTAAATGGTAAGATTAAAGAATCTATAAACTTTATTCATCATAAAAGTATTTTTATTTGTTTACTGATACAAGAAAAGCAGGAATATAGTTTCCATTAGCTTAGCCTATATTTAATAGAATAATGCATTTAATAATCTTTGTGTTCATTTTTTAACACTTCTAGGTTTTCAAAGCTTTCATATCTCTGATTAGATAATATGTTCATTCTTTCATTTGATAAACAAGTATATATTATTTGCAAAGGAACCATACTATGGGGCTTTTGGTGATATAAAAATGATTATAAAACAGTTGTTGCTTGAGTGTGTTTAAAATGTAGAAAGTGAGAAAAAATATATTTATATACACATGCAAACATGTTATAAAACAAGGATGAATGTGAGAAGTGCTACAGGAAAAGATAATGTCCTGTAGTTTAGATGAGGGAGAAAGTACTTTCGAATGGGTAGATAAGAGGCCCAAGGATGAAGTATGAGGATAGGGTTTTACAGACACAGAGAAAGGCTTGTTTTCCAACATGAGCAAAGTGGCAGAATGTTTTAGGATAGGTGCAGAGAAAAGAAGATTTGGTACGTTCCCAACACAAACAAATGATAAATATTTAAAGTGATGGATATCCTAAATATCCTGATTTAATCACCATACATTATTTGTATGTGTCAAAATATCACATGTACCCTATAATTTATACAATTATTATGTATCAATTTAAATTTTAAAAAATAACTTTAGGTATTTATATACATATAAAACTCCATTTGTATATACAGTATTAATATGTTTTGTATAGTTACAGAGAGAGACATTAAATTATATTGTGTACTAGCCACTACTTCTACTGACAAAGGTAGACTATAGAGCACAGCCTTTTAAGTTAAATATGATAACTCTCTAATCCTAGTTCTACTACTTACTAGTTCTGTAACCTTAAGCTAATAATTTAAACTTCCATGTTTTTGTTTTCTCATCTTTAAAATGAGAATGATATGGCCGGGTGCGGTGGCTCACACCTGTAATCCTAGCACTCTGGGAGGCCTAGGTGGGCAGATCCTTTGAGCTCAGGAATTGGAGACCAGCCTGAGCAAGATTGAGACCCAGTCTGTATCAAATATAGAAAAAATTAGCTGGGCATGGTGGCGCATGCCTGTAGTCCCAACTACTCAGGAGGGTGAGGCAGGAGGATTGCTTGAGCCCAGGAGCTTGAGGTTGCTGTGAGCTAGGCTGATGCCACAGCACTCTAGCCCAGGCAACAGAGTGAGACTCTGTAAAAAAAAAAAAAAAAAAAACTGAGAAAAATAGTAACAATAAGATTAAAGGAGTTAACATGTACAAAGCATCCAGTAAAATGCTTGATATATAGGAAGTATGTAGCTGTTGCTATAGCACTATTTTTTATAGTAGTAGTAATAATTGCTATACTACTAAGAATATTGTAGTTGTTTCTATTGTCTTATTAGAAGGAAATAATCATAAGGATATCTTATAGTTTCTCAAGTATGTATTAATATTATATTCAATTCTCTTTGTTTACTTCCTATGCCTGGACTTTGGTAAATCCTTTCATATTTTTGTTTTACAATACCACCAACTTCTCTTTCCCAGTCCATTTCAAGATCAATATCTCTCGGTTGTATTTTTATTATTTCTGATTTTGTGTATTCTTCCTGCTCGTGTATTCAAAAGACTGTTACCAAAAATCCTCTTTCTATCTCACTATTTGGGCTGTAGCAATACCCATTCTCAAGTTATTTTGACTAGTTCTTTTTCTTTCCCTATGAAATTCAGACTTAGAGTTCTCAACTCAAAAAGTTCTTAAGCACTTTCCGCCTGCTTGCATCCCTCTTTCATTTCCTCCTAGTTCTCATTTCAGTGTACTCAGACATATATTCTCTTGAGCCGTTTTTATTCCTTTATAATAATCCTGTCTATGTGTACGATTTCATGCTATATCCCCTGCCTAGAAATCCCACCTGCCCTGTCCTCTAAGACAACTGACTATCATTTGTCAAATCACTGTTCAGAATCTATTTCCTTTTTCTTTTTAAAAAATGTTTTGTTACTAAAGCCTTAGGAAAAAATACTTTAGAATTCAGTCTGCAGGAAGAAATAAAATATGGTGAAAGGTCAAGCCAATTACCTCTTATTTATAGTTACATACTTTTCCTTGGTATTTCAGTCTAGCTTGTCTTGTTTGCTTAATGTACGTTTCATCCCTGTATGATTCACACTCTGTCACCTTCAGTACTATGTATAACGTACATACACACAGACACACACACATATGTTCATATTCTACCCCCCAAAATAAAAAATAGATCAATACTATATAATTAATTTTATTTGATGATAGACTATCTCCTTGTGAAATTATACCTATGTCTTTAAAAACAAAAAAAAGCACCTTTTTTTGTAGAGGGATATAGATAAGACAAAACTAATTCAGTTAAGGAATAAATTATTTAACTCATGTTCACAGAACAGTTGTATGACTACCAGTAACTTATTCTATATTTTTGCATTATTAGAACTCAAGTACCTACTTTGGTAGATTAAGGATTTGTTTTTATCTGGCATAGCAAATAACACATTTATTTTAGTTCATTACTAAAGTCACCAGCCTCAAAATTACTAGGAAAGGGGGGGAAAATAACTTTGAAGTGAAAACAAAACAAAAGGAAAGAAGTAGGTAGGATCCTTGGAAAAACTTATTTGATATTTCCTTTTACTCCTTGTAAAGCCAAGCTTCTAAAATTGTGTTCATTGGAAGATGCAAAGCTATCATGTAAACCAAACATATTTTTCTAAAGCTCTGTAACTCAAAGATATTGGGGGAAAACATCATTTTTACATTACAACATATATGTATATATTATAGAATAGAATTCAAAATCTGCATGAATTTTTAAAATAAAACAGATGACTTCAAAGAAATTTCACACTGGCAGCAGATCCCTAGCGGTACATGTCTCTTCCATTAGGAGTACTTTGGTGGGAAAAGTTTCTCAAGTATTGCCTGAAGACTGAGAGAGCGGTATTGTTTTGAGTTGGGTTTTTTCTTTCTTTAGTTAGTTAGTTTGTTATTCAGTTAATTATAATTGCAGGGAGAGGGGAGACAAATACGCAGGGTAAGGGAAGAGAGGGTGTCATAACCCTTATGAAGCTCAGAAGCAGTCTGTATTATGTAACTTTATTATCAGGGAAACTTAGAAAATAACATTGCTGTGGTCATTTTATTCTAGTTGAAATTATAAATCTGTAGGTCTTTTTATTCATGTTTGGCATATTAATACTAATGAGTCTTCGGAGAAAAAAATGGTTGTTATAGAAACTCTGATGACTTTAAAACACTGAAAATACTTTTGATAAACCACAATCGCCTTTCCCCCAATGACTAATTTTAAAGAGTGTATATATGTGTGTGTGTGTGTGTGTGTGTGTGTGTGTGTGTGTGTGTGTGTATATATATATATATATATATATACCTATAGCTAATAGATGTATATTATATAAAGCATTGCTGGTTTACTAGACATATTTGATAAATCCTTTATTTTTTTCCCCTGTGGGTTTCACTTTAACTTTCAGCTTTGAGGATTTTTATAGTTTGATTTAAAACCTCTACTGTTTTATAGGTCGGCTCCAGGGATTAAACCAAAAGGGTTAGTAAAGTTTAATTAAAACTATTCAATTCAAAAGAGGAAAAAATTTATATTAATGTATTTGAAGGCACTATTAATCCTAAGGTTCTGCATAAATCCAAAATAGATTTCACTTCAGTTAAATTAGTGCCATCATACAAGATAAAAGCTAGTGAAGTTTCCTATGAACAGTGTTAATTTTTTACGAATTAAATAAATTATTGTGACTTTAACGATCAACTATACCTTTTGATATCTGCCGTGTTTCTATGACATATTAGTAACTGATTAGCTGTTTATCTACTCTGACTTCTTCATGGATTTAATAATGATGAAAATTCAGGTTAAAGGAAATGTTAAAAGGGAAAATAATCTATGAAATAAAGAAAAAGGAAAAATGAAAATAATATCAGAGTAAAAAAGTTTGGGGAAAGAAGAAAAAATACATTTTCATAAACTCCAGAGCTGGTAGAAGCTTTAGAGTTTATCTAGTCCCTGCTATAAGGGACCCAAAATGGCATTTAGCCCAACTTTATCATTTAGAGTTGAAGAAACTGAGAGCCAGAATGATGAAGGAATTGCCCATGACCACAGTTGAGTGATAGAGTCAATGTATGTTTGCCAGACCTCATCTAATATTTCATCCACAATTTTACTTCATTTGTGGTTTATAATATACAACAGAGATTCATGCTCACATATTTGAGAACATATAGAAAATAAATGCTGACAAAATGAAAAACAAAAACAAAAAAAAAACCTACTGGAAGTGTAAATACTACTTCCTCTATGTAGTTGCCCATAGCCTCTCTAGCCCCATTTTGACAAAATCAACCCCTTCTTCCTCTCTGTCACAGCAGCATTTTAGTCTTATTAGTAATATAGCATATACTACATTTGCATTTTTTATTTAATCATTTGCTTTTATCTTTTCCTCCTAGATTGAGTTCTTTAGTGGCAAGGACTATGTCCTATTTGTCCTTACAATCTCAGTGCTAGCACAGCATCTCAGAAGTGCTCAATAAATGCTTATTAACTTGAATTGTTTGCATATCATTTTGGTATAGCAGGCATATTTCAAAATAAGGCACTGTCGGAAGTTGACAAATTGAAAATAGCAGCCTAAAAGTACTGTTTGCTGTAAATATGAGAGAAGAAACAAGGTATGTTAGAATAAGGAAGACACTGGAACTTAAAAATATTTCCTGGTTCATATTTTACTTCTTTCAAGGAGAAGGTTAAAATTGGAAACAATCAGGTTAATAATGGAGAAGACCTAATCTTATGGAGGCCACCAAATCATAAAAGTT